GCTGATGGTCCGTTTTGATGACGCTCAGTTGAGGTTTGTGGCGGGGACGATTTTGGCCAATGAAACAGACAGAAGTTTTCTCAGAAAAAACAGACAAACAAGAAACACAAACAAGTGTGTTAATACCATACAAAACCAATGATTAATTACAAATCTAAATAAGCCTATGAAATAATTAATATTAACATTTTAAACATTAAATTCTGAAAACCGAACTCTGCATTCAACTTTTATCCTAAGCCCTATTTTTCCAAAAGTATAATGTTCTTTAAGATAATTTAAATTTTATATCACCAAAATGTTGGTAAAAATGTTTAATAACTTGTCTAGACGCCTTGGAGATAAAAATAAAAATAAAATAATGCCTCTTTATAATCTAACTCAAAGTTCTGTGATCATATGACTCCATGACAGTAACATTATCGTGTGTATAAATGTAATTTTCTACAAAAAATATTTGGTATGCTTCTCTTAGCGGAGAGAGAGAGAGAGCAGACAGAAAGAGGGAGGGGAGGGGCTGAGTGGCCTCCTCAAACAAAGGAAAACATGGACGACTGAAATACATCCCCTTTTTAAAATTTGCTACATTTTCTTTGTTTTTATCGTGACAATGCTTTATCAGTGGTGAGAGTTCTCACGTCAAACGACACTTTGCACTTATTTAACTACGTCTGTAATGGAAACATTACAATTTTCCTACATGAATAATGCATCACTAGGTACAGCAGGATCTTTTTTTTTTTTCGTAATACCTCTGTAACTATTAAAACATTACATCACAATACAAGAGAACTCCCAGAACTGATCTTTTTGGTCATTTCTCCACGTGGAAAACAGCCAAGTGGCTCTCTTTTTCTCATTAATCAGATCATTATTATTCAATAGTCAGAATCCAACAGTTTAAAATACTTGGCTCTTTTGTTTAAATTAAATGTACCCTTTTTTCCCGCCCCCCGGGGGATATGGAAGGTTTTATTATCCTGCTTCTGACCCTAATAACTGTCCCTATTTTCTAATTCTATTTCTATTTTCACTAAACACTTGTGCCTCTTCTGCACTTCTAAAAACTCCCGTGGACTTTCTTTTCTCTCTTTTATTTTTTAGAGGGGACCCACTTTTTCCCTCAAGGCTAAAACGTCAAAAAACCTGACTATTGTTTTATCGCGTCCGATAAAACGCCCGTCACGGCGGTCTGTCCACATCTGCAGTCTGGTGTTGGGCCGAGACCTCTCTCTCTTCTATTAAAAACAATGTGCAGATTCTCAAAAATATGATCTGCTTACCTTTTAGAAGTGTTTTGCAGAGTAGAGAGTCCCCAAACGCACACAGACCCAGTTTTTTGTCTATCTGAGCTCGTCCTGCGTCTTCTTTCTGTATCAAATCACGTCGGGGTCACCAACTGTTGTCAAAAAAAGATTTGACTGACGTGTTCAAAGTTTGATGCAGAAAACAAGACGTAGATTTCCAAGTTTAACATCTGTATTTAATTTATCTTTACAATCAGATACAGAAATTCAACAAAAGCTCCTATCCTAATCTATGCCTACCCTCTCCCTAAAAGCTCATCCTTTCTCTGACTAAACTCAAAATGGCTACTCATTATAAGTAAATGTGTAGCAAGAAGGGGGCGTGTCGTATCAGGCAGCTCTGGTCCCGTATCCGGTCTTTGTCCTCCGCATCTCCAGACCTAAAATGAGAATCATTCACACTCCCCAAATCTATAGATTTATTACTTCCTTGAGATAAGGCAGGAGTCCCAAGGCTGCTGTCACTGCATACTCTGGCCCCCCAGATTAAATATCATTAACTATTTCCTGCCCTTCTGGACTGCAAGATAGGAAGACAAGGTCTTTTGGCTTAAGCAAGAGACAGAGTTCAATCAGTGATTATTGCCACATCTGTTCAGTGTATATCTAATACAACATTTTAATTCTGCAACACCAAACACTGACAAAACAGTGTCGGAGGCACTGAATGGCTTTGCTCCTGCTGAAGTACACAGTGTAATGAATGGGTCACCTCATGATGGCGAGGTGATTGACGAGCGCGTCAGCGCTCGTCAATCACCGAGAACCCAATAGTTGCGTTCGCCTCGTCGTTCGCTTTAAAACGACGTATCATTTGTATTATAGGTTACTATGGAAACCTATATTGTTTTTGCTCAAAAAATTCCTTGGTTTCTTTCTTTTTTTCTTCAGCGCTTTGAACCTTAATTTGACCCCCTGAACATTGATGAAAAGTTGTGAAATTTTGCCCAAAATTCAGAACCGGCAAAAAATTTATTTTTTTGGTGTTTATTTTTATGGGACAAAAAAAATGCCCGAACAGCGCCCCCTACAAAAGTCAGTTTACATTGCGCCTATGGGAGCGGGTCGGAGGTTGTTCCTCAAGTCAAGACATGGAAAAAAAGTTATTATGGCTCCGCCCCCTGACAAACAGGGAGCTCATTAATTTCAATGGGAAATGGAAAAATGAAAATTGATATTTTTCACACATGTCGGTTGGAAATTTTCTCCTCCTCGGCCGTTTCACCGATTTGTTTCAAAATTGCTCCACATGGTCTAAACACATGTACCATCAATTATTGAATATAGAATTTGGATCAGTTAAACATTGTCCGAGCAGCGGAGCGGCAAAATGTGACATTTTTTTTCAGATTTTTGACAAAAGTAAATTTGCTCCCATTTGCACAAACCAAACCGAATTTGCACAACATTTTTGTTGTTTGTTCAGCTCCAGGGTCTAGGTCATTTGAAAGAGGAAATATTGAAATTTGCTCATTAGCGCCCCCTACAGACTATGTCAAAGTTTTACATGGGCCTTTTCAAATTTAGTTTTTTCAAAATGTTTGAAATTTTGCACATAATTCTGTTTTGTCATCTGGATTCAAAAAGTCAATGACAACATATTGTTATTTTTTACCCTGTTGCCGTGGCGACGACCAATACTCCCCTGTCTGTGTCTATGGCGAAATCGTTAAATCTCTGAAATGTACACCTCGCTCGAAAATCAAACCAGCCGCGGCCGTTTCACTAATTTGTCTGAAAATCGCTCCACATTGTCTCAACACATGTACCATCAATAGTTGCATATAGAATTTTAATTAGTCAAACGGTCTGAGAGTGACAGACTCCCAAAGTGTGGTTATTTTCATAGAGAGGTGTGAAGTTCCCATGTTATCCAATGGACACACTCACAGATTGTATGAACAAACAGGAGCACATTTACAAATTCTGATTTGCACTAAACTTGACTCGGTTGTTCAACTCCTGGGCCTAGGTCACATGACTGTGTGAACAATGACATTGGCCCATTAGCGCCCCCTACAGGCTGAGTAAAGGTTTACATGGGGATACAGGTATTTAGGTTTTATGTTGTTTGATCTCATATTTGACCCACATAACAAACACGAAAACTCACCAAACTTTGCCACAAGTTTTTTTCAGGCATAAAGTGTATTATTTTGGTGTTCTTTGGTATAACACTAAGAAAATTAAATTGTAGGGGTTGCTGTTGTACAACATTAAATGCCACCATTTGCACATACAAAGTCCGATTTGCACAACATTTGAATTGATTGTTCAACTCTCAGGTTTGGGTAAACTTAAAGTGTTAAAGACGAAATTGCAGCAATAGCGCCCCCTACAGAGTGATACAAGTGTTACATGGGGAGAATGAGGTTTAAATTTTCAATAGAGACTCACAATCACTGATCATAGGAATTCAAAATGCACAGTGTCGCTCCCGTCAGGGCAGTGGGAAAATGGCGCGTCAGCGCCACCTCCTTTGCGCGGTGCGGCGAGGGCCGTTAGATGCCGCTTGCGGCTTTAATTGTTTTTGTTTTTTGTTAATTATTTGTGAGTGAAGTTATAGGCCCATAGTGTACTGTATGTTCGTTTGGAAATGTAAGCTGTAAAACCAAATACAAATCTGAATTAAATAATAATAACCCTATAAGTCCCAAAACTAGATCCAATTCAACTTTATGGTCATTACAAAGTCAAAACAATGCAACAAGATGCAGTTTAGTGTCTAACCAGTGCAACAGAGCATTATGAGAGCAGCTTAACAAACATTTATATCATTTATTCATGTTCTTGTTATAATTGAAGGCCATAAAACTAGTATTAAGCTTTAGGGCTCCATCTTTTTGGCGTCTGTTTAGAATTGAATAGAACTAATTGGTGAAGATACACATTATTATGAAACTCTCCAATCATTCAAACAAAATTCTAAATCTCTTGATCTGGACCTGCGATCTGTCATAACGTTTTCTATTCAGTTTCACCACAATAAAGATGAGACAAAGTGTACATTTCTGATGATTTTCTTGTTTTTGGCAGAGTGTGTGTGCAGACCGCAGAGTGATAGGACGTATATGAGAAGAGTGACTCGGCACTAATGAGTTCCTCGTCGAGCCGACATCTCATGTTTAGTGTCAGAGCCCATATTTGATTAGTCCCACAGAGAAACCCGCTGAATAATGCATCACATGTGACCAGCCTCGTGCTCAAAGCCACTGCGCGTTAGAAGAGGAAGATCAATGTGTGTGAACATGAAACCTGCAGACTGCAAAGATGATAATAATAATAATAATAATGCATTGGTTTTATACAGTGGACTCTCTGGACTCTTCACATGTGTCATTATTCTTTCACTCCAAACACGGTGGTGATAAACTACTACTGTAGCCACAGCTGCCCTGGGGCACACTGACAGAAGCGGCCCCTCCCACCACCACCAACCATTCACACACATTCTAGGCAATGGGGGAGAAATGTCTTGCCTAAGGACACAACGGCAGTCTGGCACTTTACAGCCACAGCCGCTTACGATACAGTTTTTTCGTATACAATATATTTTTATGTATACAATACTTACAAGCTATGTTTACAATACCTACTTCACGATTACGTAAAATCAAGGACAAGAACTAAAGCAGACGTGGAAGGACAGGGACAGAACAGAAGTGAAGAAACACACAGGGTTGACATACACGACTAACGAGACACATGAGGGCGGGGCAGGTCCATGAGGGCGGGGCAGGTCCATGAGGGCGGGGCAGGTCCATGAGGGCGGGGCAGGTCCATGAGGGCGGGGCAGGTCCATGAGGGCGGGGCAGGTCCATGAGGGCGGGGGAGGTCCATGAGGGCGGGGGAGGTCCATGAGGGCGGGGGAGGTCCATGAGGGCGGGGGAGGTCCATGAGGGCGGAGCAGGTCCATGAGGGCGGGGGAGGTCCATGAGGGCGGGGCAGGTCCATGAGGGCGGGGCAGGTCCATGAGGGCGGGGGAGGTCCATGAGGGCGGGGGAGGTCCATGAGGGCGGGGGAGGTCCATGAGGGCGGGGCAGGTCCATGAGGGCGGGGGAGGTCCATGAGGGCGGGGCAGGTCCATGAGGGCGGGGGAGGTCCATGAGGGCGGGGCAGGTCCATGAGGGCGGGGGAGGTCCATGAGGGCGGGGGAGGTCCATGAGGGCGGGGGAGGTCCATGAGGGCGGGGGAGGTCCATGAGGGCGGGGCAGGTCCATGAGGGCGGGGCAGGTCCATGAGGGCGGGGGAGGTCCATGAGGGCGGGGGAGGTCCATGAGGGCGGGGGAGGTCCATGAGGGCGGAGCAGGTCCATGAGGGCGGGGGAGGTCCATGAGGGCGGGGGAGGTCCATGAGGGCGGGGCTTGTAATCAAACAGGAAGTACAACTAAAGACACAGGGCCAAACTCATTCCAAAATAAAACAGGAAAATAACCCAAACCGGGACAGTACCAGTTTTCCGAATACTTAGAATACTTTTATTCATACTTTTATTATAATTACTTTTATTATATATATACACTACATTTCAAAAGTTTGGGGTCACCCAAGTGTTTTCCATGTAAAGTCACACTTATTCACCACCATATTTTGTGAAATGAATAGAAAATAGAAAGATGCGGTAAAGGGGGAAAAAAAAGTGTATTTACTTTTGTTTTATTGTTTTATTACCAACTGTTACCTCTTTACTTGGTGTTGAATACAATAAAATTTCATTTACAAAAAAAAAAGACGTTGACAAGGTTAGAAATAAGATTTGTTTTACATCAACTTTGCTTTCGTCAAAAAATCCTCCATTTGCAGCAATTACAACATTGCACCAAAAACCAGACATTTGCAGCTGGAACAGTCATTTACCAAATAAGCAACGTATAGAGTGTATTTCTTTACAGTTAAGACTAGTTTAAAGTTATCTACAGCTTTTCCTTCAAAATTAAGGACATTTCAAAGTGACCCCAAACTTTTGAACGATAGTGTATATTTTATTCTAATTTAATGTTAATCTTTACATGTTTAAATAAAAACATTTTATTGTCGTTTATTTTGGTAAAACAGTAAAAGTTCTTCAACTGCTGCATTTAACAACCAGAAAAAAAAAATCTTCACTTTAAGAATGCGCAATTTTTATTTTATTTTTAACCTTAAAACAAAACGTGCAAAAGTATGTATTCCATAAATTTTAGAAAGTAACTAATTTAAACACTGGACTTTACTGGAGTAGTAACTGTAATGGAATACAGATACTCAGAAAGAGTAATCTGAATACCTACTGGGATTACAAGTATTCAGTTACACCCAACACTGGTCATAGTTTTAATAGAGTAAAAATTCATGATTGAATAAACTAAGAAGTAATAACATGTAACTTGTACTTTGCATAACATGACAGACATAAAATATTCATAATGAGTCCTTTGCTCTTGAATAATTCACCGTGAGCCGAGGCCGAGATGCTCCTCCATGATTTTAATGTGTTCCATAAATGACTTAAAGGTCGTTCGAACACGGACTTCTGTACCTGTGCTGTCACGTGTAGTACAGGGACTCAGAGATTTAGACTTCTGTACCTGTGCTGTCACGTGTAGTACTGTACCTGTGCTGTCACGTGTAGTACAGGGACTCAGAGATTTAGACTTCTGTACCTGTGCTGTCACGTGTAGTACAGGGACTCAGAGATTTAGACTTCTGTACCTGTGCTGTCACGTGTAGTACAGTGACTCAGAGATTTGGACTTCTGTACCTGTGCTGTCACGTGTAGTACAGGGACTCAGAGATTTGGACTTCTGTACCTGTGCTGTCACGTGTACTACTGTACCTGTGCTGTCACGTGTAGTACAGGGACTCAGAGATTTGGACTTCTGTACCTGTGCTTTCACGTGTACTACTGTACCTGTGCTGTCACGTGTAGTACAGGGACTCAGAGATTTGGACTTCTGTACCTGTGCTGTCACGTGTACTACTGTACCTGTGCTGTCACGTGTAGTACAGGGACTCAGAGATTTGGACTTCTGTACCTGTGCTGTCACGTGTAGTACAGGGACTCAGAGATTTGGACTTCTGTACCTGTGCTGTCACGTGTAGTACAGGGACTCAGAGATTTGGACTTCTGTACCTGTGCTGTCACGTGTACTACTGTACCTGTGCTGTCACGTGTAGTACAGGGACTCAGAGATTTGGACTTCTGTACCTGTGCTGTCACGTGTAGTACAGGGACTCAGAGATTTTGACTTCTGTACCTGTGCTTTCACGTGTACTACTGTACCTGTGCTGTCACGTGTAGTACTGTACCTGTGCTGTCACGTGTAGTACAGGGACTCAGAGTTTTGGACTTCTGTACCTGTGCTGTCACGTGTAGTACAGGGACTAAGAGATTTGGACTTCTGTACCTGTGCTGTCACATGTAGTACAGGGACTAAGAGATTTAGACTTCTGTACCTGTGCTGTCACGTGTAGTACAGGGACTCAGAGATTTGGACTTCTGTACCTGTGCTGTCACATGTAGTACAGGGACTCAGAGATTTGGACTTCTGTACCTGTGCTGTCACGTGTAGTACAGGGACTCAGAGATTTGGACTTCTGTACCTGTGCTGTCACGTGTAGTACAGGGACTCAGAGATTTGGACTTCTGTACCTGTGCTTTCACGTGTACTACTGTACCTGTGCTGTCACGTGTAGTACAGGGACTCAGAGATTTGGACTTCTGTACCTGTGCTGTCACGTGTACTACTGTACCTGTGCTGTCACGTGTAGTACAGGGACTCAGAGATTTGGACTTCTGTACCTGTGCTGTCACGTGTAGTACAGGGACTCAGAGATTTGGACTTCTGTACCTGTGCTGTCACATGTAGTACAGGGACTCAGAGATTTGGACTTCTGTACCTGTGCTGTCACGTGTAGTACAGGGACTCAGAGATTTGGACTTCTGTACCTGTGCTGTCACGTGTAGTACAGGGACTCAGAGATTTGGACTTCTGTACCTGTGCTGTCACGTGTACTACTGTACCTGTGCTGTCACGTGTAGTACAGGGACTCAGAGATTTGGACTTCTGTACCTGTGCTGTCACGTGTAGTACAGGGACTCAGAGATTTTGACTTCTGTACCTGTGCTTTCACGTGTACTACTGTACCTGTGCTGTCACGTGTAGTACAGGGACTCAGAGTTTTGGATTCTGTACCTGTGCTGTCACGTGTAGTACAGGGACTAAGAGATTTGGACTTCTGTACCTGTGCTGTCACATGTAGTACAGGGACTAAGAGATTTAGACTTCTGTACCTGTGCTGTCACGTGTAGTACAGGGACTCAGAGATTTGGACTTCTGTACCTGTGCTGTCACATGTAGTACAGGGACTCAGAGATTTGGACTTCTGTACCTGTGCTGTCACTTGTAGTACAGGGACTCAGAGATTTGGACTTCTGTACCTGTGCTGTCACGTGTAGTACAGGGACTCAGAAATTTGGACTTCTGTACCTGTGCTGTCACGTGTACTACTGTACCTGTGCTGTCACGTGTAGTACAGGGACTCAGAGATTTGGACATCTGTACCTGTGCTGTCACGTGTAGTACAGGGACTCAGAGATTTGGACTTCTGTACCTGTGCTGTCACATGTAGTACAGGGACTCAGAAATTTGGACTTCTGTACCTGTGCTGTCACGTGTAGTACAGGGACTAAGAGATTTAGACTTCTGTACCTGTGCTGTCACATGTAGTACAGGGACTCAGAGATTTGGACTTCTGTACCTGTGCTGTCACGTGTAGTAAAGGGACTCAGAGATTTGGACTTCTGTACCTGTGCTGTCACATGTAGTAAAGGGACTCAGAGATTTGGACTTCTGTACCTGTGTTGTCACGTGTAGTAAAGGGACTCAGAGATTTGGACTAAATACACAGGAGCACAGGGACTACAGGAGCACAGGGACTAAATACACAGAAGCACAGGGACTAAATACACAGGAGCACAGGGTCTAAATACACAGGAGCACAGGGACTAAATACACAGGAGCACAGGGACTAAATACACAGGAGCACAGGGACTTTTTAATTTTGTTTATTTTATTAAGTGACAATAGACATACAAAATGTAGCTATAGACATGCAAAAAATGTAAAAAATAAAATTGTGAAGCGGCAACAAGACATGGGAACATGACGAAATGCAGAAATTGAATAAACTTGACTTTATCTTGTGTATAAATGTGAAATAAAAACACATTTGCCAAATGACAGAAATAACACGACAAAGGGAAACAGTCCTGAACCCTCTGAGTTCTGCCTCGGAGGACACACAGAGAACTCGGGCGTTTGTTTGGACAAGTTGGCACAACCGTTGGACTGGCACAGCCTCAGAGTGTGACTCTTCCCCACAGCCGCCACAGCCGCCACAGCCGCCACACCCGGAGTGTCAGGAGGGTAATTAGAGAGGCTGATTAGAGTGACGGAAGGAGGGCACCCAGGGAGAAAACAAGCCTCTTTCCAAACACACAGCGGTGGAAAAGCCAGAGTGACAAAGAGAACACACTGCAGCACGTCGGGAAAAAGTACCATTAGACTTGTTCATTTAGAGGCTGAATCTCCAAGGACACACTGTCACATCAAAGCGGCAAAAACACAACCTTTTTAGACGACTACAATAACAATTTTCTTTCACACGACACAGAAAACATGTCATATCTTTGCTGCTATTTCGTATAAAACATCCAGACTGTCACGTGGGTGAAAAACAAGGAGACCCAAAATGCAAAACTGAAAAATAATGGATTTCATGAAAAGTAATGCAAAGCTAGATCCAGCCAAAACACCACAAAAAGAAACCAAACGGGGAACAAGGACAAGAAGTGAAACAGGATAAGAATGACAATGTTGGATCAGGAAGTGAAGGAACACATGGGGTTTAAATACAAGACTAATGAGACACAGGTGAGACACATGAGGGCGGGGCAGCTACATAATAATAATAATAATAATACATTTTCATCTAAAAGCGCCTTTCAAAACACTCAAGGACACTGTACAGGACTTAATTAAAACATTAAAAACAGGAGCAACAGAAAAAAACAGTAGTGCAATATGGAAGGTGGGTGTGTGTGTGTTAGGTGGGGGGGGGGGGGTTAGGGGGGGGGGGGGGGGGGTGTTAGGTGGGGTGTTTGTTTGTGTGTGTGTGTGGTGTGTGGGTGTGTGTGTTAGGTGGTGGGTGTGTGTGTTAGGTGGGTGTGCGTGTGTTAGGTGGGTGTGCGTGTGTTAGGTGGGTGTGCTGTGTTAGGTGGGTGTGTGTTAGGTGGGTGTGCGTGTGTTAGGTGGGTGTGTGTGTGTTAGGTGGGTGTGCGTGTGTTAGGTGGGTGTGCGTGTGTTAGGTGG